GCAGCTGGGCCCTGACGGCTATTGGCTTGCTTCGCCCTTGTAGGATAGCTTCCAGCCTCCTATCTCAGTGTGGAGAGAGCTGCAGTGCAGGGAGGCTGAAGGCTCACCCAACCACCATTCAGTAACATCCCACCTCCCCCTAGCTCTCAGCCCAGGACTTCAGATCTGGTCAGATAAACAGTCAGAGGGAATACGTGATTCTCATTGACTTTGCCTTCTTAACCTGCCCCTTCTCCTTGTCCCAGCCCCAGCTTCTCCCCACTCAGTTCATCTCTAAATGTCTTCTCCCTTCAGGCCATCAATAGATCCAGGAGTATCTATTGAGCTTCCTCTGAGGGCAGGGACTGTGCCTGCGCTGTATGGGGATGTAAGTCTGAGTCCTTGTCTCCCAGTTTTGGAGGGAAAATAATAATTTAAATAAAACAACAGCTAACATATATACTGCTTTAAGGTTCATAAAGTGCTATATAAATATATTTCATTTGAAACATACATGAAATTAATAAATGAGATATGACCTCATTATGTATTATATAATAAAGTGTGGTATCATTTTGTAGGGAAAAAGAATAAGAATGGTGCTTTATTTTCTGTAGTGCTTTAAGGCCGATTAAGTGTTTTACTTTGAGAGGTAGTGGGAGCTGCTAGGTGGCAAGGTAGATAGGGCACAGGCCCTGGAGACAGGAGAACCTGAGTTCAAATCCAGCCTCCAGACACTTACTAGCTGTGTGACCCTGGGTAAGTCACTTAACTCCTATTGCCTCTTTAAAAAGACAGAGAGACAGAGAGAGGTGGAGATAGCTAGGATGGTGGATAGAAAGCTGACCTCAAAGCCAGGAGGGACCTGGATTTAAATTAAGTCCCATTTCCCACAGATAGTGACTGCGTAACCCTGGACAAGTCACTTAAATTCATGGTAACTATCACAATAATAGCCTTCCTGAAGCTAAGAGGACCTTAGAGGATTCATCTTGTTCTTCTGTTCTCCTCCTGGTATCACTTTACAAATAAGGAAACTGGGGAGAATTTTAAATGATTTGTCCAAGATCATACAGATAGTGTAAGGAGAAGGGGCCCCTCATGTGTAGCTGGGCCCACTTGTGGTGAGGACCATGACCTTGTGTGGCTCAGGGGGAGGAAGAATAAACTTTCTCTAGGCCTTCCCTCCTACCAGGAGAGAAAGCAGGAGGCTGGGGCTCAAGGCTACCACTCTGCTTTCCTCAGAGAAGGAGGGTAGCAGGCTAGACACATATCTATCTGCTTCCTTAAATATTGTTCATTTAGGAGATATAACCAGATCTGATATAACTTTTAATCACTTTGTCCTTTTTGGGGGAAAGTTCTATATCCAAGTCTTGACTTCCATTTCCACAACGAACTCATGTAGCAGATAACAAAGAAATCTGTTTATTCAAATCATAGCAAAACAGACATCAGAGAAGGTGTACATAGGGAATATATACCAGACAATACAGAGTGAAGGCTCTCTGCCATTGGGAGAGGGGTAATTTAGCTCAACCACCCGAGGGGAGGCTCCTTGAAGCCTCTAGAGTAGCAAGTTTCTCTCATGCCTGCTCCTCTTATGTCTTCCCAGAATCTCTTCTTTCAGCAACTTGAAGTGGGGTTGACCTCTTCCATCTTCTCTCTCAAAACTGGAAGCCAGAAGCAATGGAAGCAACTCAATGCTGTAAGTCTTAGAGCTTGATGTCCCAAAGAGGGACCCAAAGAGACTGGTGAAAGCTTCAGCTCTCTCATCTCTCATCAACTCTGCCCCATTTGCTCCTCATTCAGTGCAGGGCCATCATTTCCACCAATAAGGAGACAGTCCCATAGCAATGGGCTTTAGGACAGAGATTATATTCATAAAGTGGAAGAGGGTCTGAACCTGTGATTTAATTGGTCCAGTAAACTCCCTCTACCATTGTATATTAGCACCTACTCTGTAGCAGGGTCTTGGAGAGCTGCCTCGGGGCACTGAGAGGTTAATGAGTCATCCTTGATCACACAGCCAGTATGTGTCAGAGACTGGACTTGAACTCTAATTTTCCTCAGTTGGAGCCCAGCTCTCTCTTCACTATTCCACACTTTCTCTTTAATACAGTACATACCTAATCACCCTTTCCAATGCCAACTGCACATTCATTCATGTTCCACATCCCCCAACAACTGGTTATGGCTGGAGAGCTGGAAAACTCCTTGTTCCCCACTACCAATTCCAGACTCTTCCTCTATCACCATCACTCAGTAACTTCTCCACCTTTGAGGTTTATTCAATCCAAACATCACCCATTGAAGATTCTGGCAGCTGTTACCTACTGACCCCCTGGTTTAGTGTTCTCATACAGTCTTTCTCTCTAGCCCAACTCCTGCCTTCATGTTGGGGGACTTCATCATAATATTCCCTAAAATAACCTATAACTTCCCATTTTCTCATTTTCCCCAATCCTGATCCCATACCCTTGAACTTGCCATCAGCCACAGGTGTTCCATGTTCATGCTTTTCCTTCAGTGTCTTTGACACTGCTGATAATCCTCTTTTCCTAGACAGATTTTCATGACATGGCTCTCTCCCGATTCCTTTCCTCCATCTAGGTCACACCCATTAACTGTGAGTATCTCCCAAGGCTCTGTTGTGAGATCTCTTCTTTTCTCCTTCTACAATCTCACTTGGTGATCTCATCAGCTTCCATGGGTTCAATGGTCACCTCAGCTCTATGATTCTCAGCTCTCTATATATAGCCCTAGCTTTTCTCTGGAGCTCCATCTTGCATTGCCTACTACCTCCTGGACATCTAGAACTGGATGTCCCGTAGATATTTCAAACAAAACATGTACAAAACAGAACTCATTATATTTTCCCCCAAATTCTCCCCTCTTCCCAACTTTCCCATTTTCCCAGTCATTCAAGCATCGATATCTGAGTTGCCCTCAACTTTTCATACTCATCCCTCGTAACCAATTTGTTGCCAAGTCCTGTTTCTACCTCTACAATATCTCTCGTATATGACCCCTTCTCCCCACTCACACAGATGCCACCATGTTGCAGGCTTTGTCACTTCAATTCTGGATTATTTGAATAGTCTTCTGGTTGCCTTTCCTGCCTCATATCTCTCTCTTTAGTCCAGGGGTGGGGAACCTGCAACCTTGAGGCCACATATGGCTCTCTAGGTCCTCAAGTGTGGCCCTTTGACTGAATCTAAACTTCACAGAACAAAATTCCCTTAATAAAAGGATTTGTTCTATAAAACTTGGACTTAGTCAAAAGGCCACAGCCAAGGACCTAGAAGGCCACATGTGGCCTCGAGACCACAGGTTCCCCACCATCCACTGAATCCACCCCCTACTCTGCTGCCAAAGTGATTTTTCTTAAAGCACAGATGTGATGATGTTACCTCTCCTCCTCAATAAACTCCAGTGGCTCGTCATTACCTTCAGGATCAAATATAAAGTTCTCTGTTTGGCTTTAAAAGAAAGCCCTTCGCAACCTAGCCACTTCTTACTTTTCTAGTCTTCTTATACTTTACTCCCTTCTACATATTCTCTAGGCAGCTAGGTGGTGCAGTGGATACAGCACCATGCTTGGAGTCAGGAAGACTCATCTTCCTGAGTTCAAATCTGGCTGGCTTCACACATTTATTAGCTGTGTGACCCTGGGCAAGTCACTTAACCCTGTTTGCCTCAGTTTCCTCATCTGTAAAATGAGCTGGAGTGACTCACGGGGTCACAAAGAGTTGGACACAACTGAAACGACTGAATGTTTAAAAGCACTTAGCTGGACGATGCCTGGTCCATAGTAAGCACTTAAATGCTTATTTCTTTCCTACTCAGTATATGTCTCATACGTACAATTTTTTATATGTATCTCCCCCAGCTGAGTGTGAACTCCTTGAGGGCAGGGACTCTGCTTTTGCTTCTTTGTATCCCTATCACTTAGCACAGTGCCTGACACTAGTGATACAGTAGGCACTTTATAAATGCTTACTGACTGACTAGTAAGTAGGACAGAGGAGTTCAACCTTGAGTCCTCCAACTTCAAATCCAGCATTTGTTCCTTGGAGTGTGCTTGCTGCCCTCTATGTTGCAAGTGTTATTCTCCCCATTTTATGGATAAGGAAAAAAGTTCTGAAGGGTCTGTGATATAGCTAAAATCCTATGGTTAGAGAATAGATTTAGAGCTAGAAAGGACTCACAGATTATCTAGTCCAATCTCCTTATTTTACAGATAAGAAAACCGAAGCCTAGAGGAGAGTAGCTTTTCCAAATCATGTAGGCACTAAGTAATTGCTGGGATTTTAATTCAGATTGTCTTGATTCCAAATTCAGTCTTCTTTCTTTTTAAAACTTATTTTTTAACTTTTTAATTTTAATTTTTTAAAATTTATAGTCTTCTTTCTACTATACCTCTACTTAACAGATAGGAAAGCTGAGGTGCAAAGAAATGAAGTGATTTTATCCAAGTCATTAGGGATTGGGAACTGGATTCAAACCCAGGTCTCCTGTTTCCAAATCCAGTGTTCTTTTCACTACATGAATCTGTCTATCATCTATTGATCAATGGATCAATCCATCTATCCACCTATCAATCAATCTATCATCTATCCATCCATCCATCCATCTATCATCTTTCTGTCTGTATCCATCCCTCCATCTCTCCATCCATCATCTATCTCTCCATTCTTCTATCTAGTTACCAGTTTTCTCTCTCTCTCCCTTCATCCTTCCAGTCTTCCATCTATCTATCCATCCATCCATCCATCCCTCAAATGCTTCCCTAAATTTCAGGTACTTCCCTCATGCTCCTCTGATCTATCCTTAACCCCTCCTGATCCCTGCCTCCCCACCTCCCTCCCATGCCCTGGAACTTCTAGAATCTCTGGAAGGTTCCAGTTAGAGATTTAAATTTGAAAACTCCCTCCTGTTCTTAAGCAGTTGGATCTGTGTGGCAGCAACCAGCCATCTCTCAGCTCCTTCTCTTTGATTCAACCACTGTCTCACCAGGGATGGAGCTCCCAGCCCCAGCAACTCCCAGCTCCAGCCGCTCCTCAGTGCTCCGCTTCTTCCGCAGCCTAGTAGGGAGCAAAAGTAGTCACCAGGTGCCTGAACAAGCCCTGGTCTTGGGCAGGGGCCAGGAACAGGATGTCATCCCACTAATGGGAACAGAAGATTCCTCAGGGCCTGGCCGGGAAGAGCTGGTCCTTCGGGCCAAGATGTCTCATGCCCTCCACCTGCCAGGACCCAAGGGATCTCCTCAGCAGATGGACATAGCAGGCTTGGGGATGGGGGACTCTGGCGTCCATGCCCCATCTGTGCTCCAAGAGGAAGGAATCCGGGGCCCTGAGGGGAAGCTGGCACTAGCAGTTGGTGGGCAAGACCTACCCATTGACCAATTGGAGAAAGAGGAAGAGGAAGTACCTGGAGAAGCCTCAGGAGATATGAGGAATGTGGGCAGGTAAGGAAGGCTGGAATATTTAGAGAGTCTGAGGGAATCTGGGTGGTCTGAGAGGAGCAAAAGAAATTTGAAGATCAGAGGGACTTGGGCAATCAATGGTTATCAATGGGATACCAATCTCTGACACTTAGCCTAAACCTCTCCATTTTCCTACCAGTTTCTCTTTTACGGGCTGTGTTGTTGCAAGTGTTATTCTGCTGAATATTATCCAACTCTAGCCCTCACAGTCCAGTCTTCCTGGCTTGTCGTTGACAGTTTCTGAGGAATCAAGGGCCCATCTTGGGTCTGGCTTGACTTAAACGACCATCCCTAATTTTCTTGACCTTTTCTGGGAGTGTAGCACTCTTTTCAGCTCCTTGCTTATCCCTCCCTCCCCCACCCCCAAAACAACAACAACAAAAAGACCAAAGAGACTCTGGGAGCAGATGTAGACAAAATGGGAATCTGGGTATGACAGTGTAGTTACGGCTCTCCCCAGGAGAATTTAGGCTTCTTTTGATCCCTGTACCAAAGGGTCCACAGATAGGAGGAGGACAATTGTGGGAGAGGGGAACATTTTTATGGGTTTCAGTGAACGCAAGTGATGCCTTCTCTGCTCCCTCCTCTCGATCCATTCCACTCTGTCTTTTTATTACAATTCTCTATCCCCATTTCCATCCCTGCTTGCTAATTGTGTTTTGGGAACAGGGGGCATTTTGCCCAGGCCATGTTCGGGGAAGATGAAAGCCTCCCCATGGCCATGGGGTCCCTGGAGATCAGCCCAGAAGCCTTCACAGCAGAAGAGGAGAAGGAGTGTCTACTCCAGAGTAAGGATAGCTAGTGGGGGGAGGGGGAAACGAGATAAAGGCTAGAAGGCCTTTGTGTTTTTTCCATTTTGGGGGGGTCATGGTGTCTCTCTATTCCTAAGGAAAGGGTGACACTTGACGCTAAAAGGTAAAAGATGCAGAAACCTAGCAGTGGGCAAATTATAGAAATAAATCTCCCTGCCCATTTCCTAAGACTGCAACTAATAGGAGTTCTGTCCTCTTGGAGGATTAGGAGAAGGGCACGGTTTGTGTAGAAAAATGAGGGGTAACTAAATGATTAAAAAAAATACAGGTAGAAGCTGAGTTTAAAGGACCTCTTCCTTTCCCACGTAGGACTTAGGATAAGACTCGTGGTCCCTATCCTCCTCTATCCCATGTCCTTGTACCCTACTCCCTCCTTCAGCCCCTGGCTCAGGGGCTGCCCAGCTGTGATGGGCACTTCTCTCCACAGAAGACTTCAGACTGGGCTCAGCAAAAGCTGAGAGAACCCCATGGAACCGACTCCTTAACATGTACAAGCAGCTTCGGAAGCCAGCAACAGCTAAGGTGCAGGGGATCATGAAAGGGCACAAATCGGAAGGGGTGATGACTGGGCCTGAAGCCCTCTTTATAACATCTCCTCCCCTCTGCTCACTCACACAGTTGGCTTGACCCCCTACTATATTTGATTTGAGTCACAGGTCACTTTCCCCAATGCCTTGGGTTTTGATAGTCAAGTCAACAAGCATTTATTAAGCTCCTACTGTAAGTTAGCACTTTCATTCCTTCCTGCATGTATGGGGACATGTCCCATGAGCTGTCATATTTACTTGATGACTTACCGTTCTAGTACCTGACTTCTCCCACCTCCAACTTAGGGCCTCTGGAATCCTATACCCTTCAGTTCCCCCCACAGGAAAGCCTGACCCATCAGGAAAATGAGGAGGACATAGAAGTTGTGGAGGAAGAAGGCGGTGAGAAAGAAGAGGACAGTTCTTTCAGTCTCAGCGTCCATGGTTTTGCTACTATTCAGTCTCCTTTACACAAGACTTTCAAATCTACCGACACAGTGGGTGAGTATCCTCCTCTTTTCCTTTCCTGTCAGAGATTCCCTCATCTTACCAGCAGCACAGAGGACATTCCCACACACATTCTCACCCTGAAGACTCCAGCCCTCCTCTCAACTTCCCACTTTTCCATCCTTGGCAAGTACTTGGCATGTGGTGATAATAGGATGTAGTAGGACAGGATTGGGAGTCAAAGGATTGGATCAGACCCTGGCTCTGATACTGCCTTGCTGTGCAACCTCGGTCAATAGGCTATACAGCATATCACAAACCTTAAAACACTGCACAAATGCTAACTATTAGTGTCACTTTCCCTCTCTGAGCCTCAGTTTCTTCACACGTTAAACCTCAAGACTGGACTAAGATCATAGACTGTCAGACCTGCAATGTGTGACCCCATCCATTTCCTTCATCCAGCTTATTTTACAGATGAGGAAACTAAGGCAAACAGGGGTAAGTGACTTGCCCAGGGTCATACAGCTAGAAAGTATCTGAGGCCAAATTTGAACTCAGGAAGATGATTCTTCCTGACTCCAGGCCTGGTGCTTATCCACTTTACCACCTAGCTAGCCCTATCCCTGTCTGTCTCTCTCCCTCACTACCAGGATACTTATCAACAACTCCCTTCATTGGTGTCTTCCAGTCTGCTATTCCCTCTCTATCTTAGGCACAGAGGTACTACAGATAAGGAAAATCACAGACTTATTATGTTCCCTTCTAGTTCTAGGCCATATTACATAGTGAGCATTTCCCCTCTCTGGATGAATGATGTTCAAGGGAATGCATGCCTAACAACCCAGATATGGTTTCCTTCTATCTTACCCCATGCATCACCCCACATCCCTTCACCTTGAATGCTGACATGAAGGTCCTCAGCACTCCCCCAGAGTGATTTAGCCATGCCTTCCAAGCATTCCTGGGCAGTAAGGAGTAGAGTGGGGTGGTGTGTTTCCATTCCTAACCTTTGCATCCCATCCAATCAATGCAGGCCCTCTGAGTGTCTCTAGCAAATGCCAGGCAGGGTTCAGATTTCTCTGGGGCAACAGTGTGTAGGAATGGCAACTTCCTCCAAGGTTTTCAAGAGGCAGCTTTGATGCCTATATCTAGGGCATGTGTGCCCATATACCTGGGTGACCCCTCTAGGGGTCAAGAGAGTACTCTTCCACTCTGATGGCTGTGCATATTTGATGCAGCTTGCCTATCCTTGAGGAAGTGGGTCTCTCCAATTAACCCACCAACCAATCAATCAACAAGTATTTGTTAAGTGCTTACCACGAGCCAGGCAACCAGGCTTTGTTCTGGTAATACAAAGAAAAAGCAAAAAAAAAAAAAAAAAATTGGTCCATGCCCTCCGGGAGCTCGAATTCTAAGTAAGTACAAAGGAGAGAAATACAGGATAGATGGAATGATGCATCTTCAATTTAAATTTTACACCTGTCTGGCATGAATATGACTGTAAATCAAGCCAGATTATGAAAGTCATGCCAAGAAACTGCTAGGATTAGTGTAAAATTCATGAACTTCAAATCTTGAGACAAGGATTATTGTGATCGTTTTCCATCGCTCCTTTCCCCCACCCCCAACCCCCAGAAATTTGGAAGGCTCTAGAGCAGGGGTTCTTAATCTGTGTGTGTTATGGACCCCTTGGACAGTCTGGTGAAGCTTCTATGGACTCCTCAGAATTATGTTTTCAAATGCATAAAATACAAGGATTACAAAGGAAACTGATTATATTGAAATGCAATGATCAAAACATTTAAAAAAAAAATTTATAGGGGCAGCTAGGTGGTGCAGTGGATAGAGCACCAGCCCTGGAGTCAGGAGGACCTGAGTTCAAATCTGCCCTTAGACATTTGACACTTCCTAGCTGTGTGACCCTGGGCAAGTCACTTAACCCTGATTGCCTCACCAAAAAAAATAAAGAAAGAAAAAAGAACTAATAGGAAGAAAAAAGATCAACTTAAAAAAAAAAGTTTACAGACCCCCAGACTAAGAAACCCTGCTCCAGCCTCAGAAGACTCCCAAGAGGAGCATATTTGTATTCACCTCCCTCCTGAGCAGCTCAGGGTATACATCTACCCAGAGAGTCTTTTTCAGTAGTGCCAACATGGGTGGTGGTGGGGGGAGTGGGGGGATTGGTGGGAAGTGGACCACTGGTTCTGGAGTCCAGAGGACCCTGGGATCAAATCTCTTTTCCAAGGCTTATTACCTGTGTGACTTTGGGCAAATCAGTTCACATACCTTGGCCTTGGTTTCCTCATCTGTAAAATGAGTGGACTAGATGGTGTCTAAGGGCCCTTCTAGATCTGGGATCCTTTCAGCACAGTGTGGTCATCCTTCAAACCAGTGGCACTTTGTAAACATACATCTTCTTTTCAGTCCTCTAATAATTATGAAGCCATTTCTATGGCTAAACCTTATACCACAAGGCATAACAGCATTAGGTTCAGAATCAGCTTTGAGACATTTCTCGGGCTTGAGAAGAGAAACCTGGAAAAATGTATGCATGACCCCTCCCCCCATATACTGAACCTCACTTTCCTTTTTTGAGTACGCAGTTCATAATAAAAGAAAATAATACATAACCTTGGAGAACTAAAAAAGGAACCATTACTTTTTCCAAGATCTAAAGTAATTCTCAGTCATTTACAAGTGGTCATCACTCACGGAAGGCTCTTTCCTGGATTACTTCACTAGTCCAAGGAATTGAAGAATGGTTTCTTCAATTCAGTTCCGAGATATTCCCAGCAGGTTTCTGCAAAAGAAAAAGGCAGGGAGTGGGGAGTGGGAAGGAAGCATTATGCTCCTACAGTCTCTGTGCTCCTAGCAAGCGTCCTCCAAAACACGTCGAGGCTTATTCTGTTGTAGCTCCTGTCTTCCAGCAGCAGAGGCATCATTAAGCTACTTGCTTACATTTCTCGTAGCCCTATTCACCTGCTTCTTGGCCAGGTAAAGCCTAGACCTGCGAAACAAGGAGTCAATATTTCTCAGCCTTTAGACGCAGAGGGGTAAAAACTCCAAAGTTTCTCATGTCTGGGGAGACACAGTTCTCCCCAATGTCATCACAACTTCTATTTCTTGACAACCTCTGGCAGCACAGAAGTTTTTCCAAGGAACAGAATAATCTTCAACTTCCCAGGAGACCTTATCAGAAGCACAGATATAGTACCTTCAAATTTTGGTGGCTTTTCTCCCATCATACCTCTCCTCCTGAGGGAACTTGTTGGAGAACTGAAAAGACCCTTCCAATTTCTACTCAATTATAGAGGCAATTATATAGAGAGAGTTATAGAGGCAGGGAGGAATGGTGAATAGAGATCTAACTCAGAAGACCTGAGTTTGAGTCTTATCCCTAATACGGAGTGATCCTGGGCAAGTCACTTAACTTCTCAGTGCTCTCTTGAGGCTAAAAGTGCAGTAAAGGTGCTAATCTCCATTAGTGGAGGGGCTTTCCTCATGGGGGGAATCCCTATATCAATACAATCCTAAAGCCCTACTTTATCTTTCTTAAGCACATGAGCAGGATTATTCAAATCACCTAAGGCTTTCACCAATACCCACCCAAAGTAATTGGTAAATAAGAAACTGCACTTTATTTTTTAAAATTCTATTTTATTTGCTTTATTTTATGTCTGCATTCTCTTCCTCTCTCCTTTCCCCCTCAACATTCAGAAAGCAAGAAAAAAAAAAACAAACCCTGTTATGAACATGTATAATCAAGCAAAAACAAAATCTTGAATTGGCCATCCAAAAAAAAATTTCAACCTGCACTCCTGAGTACTTCGCTTCTCTATCAAGAGGAGGGTACCCGTTAGATCACTGGTCATTATGTTGATCAGATTTCTTCAATCTTTCAAAATTGTTTGTCACTCTGAATCATTTCAAACAAATAAGAAGCTATGCTTTCCAAATTTCCTGGTATGTCTTCCTTTGGAGAATACTGCTTAACCCTTTGAAGGGTGGGGAAGTTCTCCAGAACCTAGCGTTAAGATGCTACCTCTCAGTCCATTTAATTCTCTTTTTCTGCTGACTGAGAGCTGAATAGGGCGGACAATACTCATCATTACCACAAGGTGTCACCAGATGACAAGGTGAGGTGTGACGTTAGTTTGTATGTGTGTGTTTTGGGGGTGGACTGGGAATGGAATCTGAGGAGAATCTTTTTTTTTTTTTTTTTTTTTTTTTTTTTTTTTTTTTTTTTTTTT